TGATTTTATATGTTATCATGTGATAAATAAATGCACATTGAAATGTCATGATCCAATGGTAAGTATGAACATTCATAAGTTTATCGTTGCATATTCATTTATTGCCTCACTAAGTCTATGACTTAGCGTGTAAGTGATTTACACGTAGGTACCAAGAATCAGGAAGAGTGGAAATAGAAGTAGCACAGGCAGCAATACTACTAAGAGATCAGATCAGAAGTAAATTGACAAAGTATGTACTTAATTATGTATAGAGTGTTGGTATGTAATAAGTGTTAATTACGAATACTCTGATCGATTTTGTATTTTATGGTCTTATGTAAATTAATGTATTTCGTTTTAATGAAAGTTTTAAAAATTCCCAGGATTTTCTGTAAGAGTCAAAGATTTGAAAAGTCAATGTGACACCTCGGACTTGTATTCGGGTCGGATATGAGTTAAGGGTGTTACACATCACTTCATTAGAGACCATGTCACTAAGGAATATGTAGTTCTAGAATTTGTTGATACTTTGCACCAATTGGCGGATATCTTTACAAAACCTTTAGACAAGGAAATATTTTGGACACTTAGGAGAGAATAAGGTTTGACCAACCTATCTTCACTTAGTGTTTAAAATAATTTTAGCACTTTTAAGAATAAATGAAAAATGCTTATAATAGTAATTTTTGATTGTATTCATTGCTATTAGTTATGAGGAGTTTATGATTCTTGATGAAAAATTAATTTTATGTTCAAATATCGTTTAAAGATTAATTTAATTGTTTGAACATGATTAATTTTCAATATATGAGTTGCCAATACCACTAGATGAAATTAATTTAGCATTTTGGGTGTTTAAAATCGGATTTTAGCATTTTGGTGCAGAGGGAATCGATCCCCCCCATGAGGAAACCGATTCCCCCTTTGAAGGGGAACCGATTCCCCCCCACAGGGGAATCGATACCCCCTGGGGTTCTGGATATACACGGGCAGAACCCTTTAAACCCTCTTCTCTTCTCTTCCTTGCTGCCAATCACTCTTTTACTCTCTCAAATCTCCATTTTGCCTCAAATCAACGTTCTTAATCTGAATTCACTTCAAATATCATCTTTTAAACCTGTTGGAATCATAAAAAACGTGCAAACTTCATCTAATCTCACTCAAATCTGAAATCCTTCAAGGTATTTTTCCAAAACTTCTATTTCATCAATTTATGAACATATAACTAGTTTTAATTAGTTCTAGGATGAACTTTAGATCGAACATTGATTGTTTAGTGATTAGAAACTAGATATTACAACTAATTTCATCAAAAACACAAGAATTTTCCAAAATTTTTAAAAATTTTTGAAATAAAAAAAATGTTGATTTTCAAATTATTGTGTTTTGATTGAATTATGTTGTTGTTATGAAAACTATACATATATTGTTTCTCAAAACCGTATTTTTCAAAAGTTTTCAAAAACTTTGCCCATTAGGATTGATTTAGAGAACCTTGAAATATTGAGGACTCAATTGAGTTTTGGGATTGATTGAATTGCATACAAGTGTTTTCTAAATTGCAGGTTATCTATTCTATTCCGATTTCCTAAACCATGTCCAATCCTAAACGTGCTAGGTCATCATCTAGTCGCTCACACCGTTAATCAAATCCACCTCCAAATCCTCAAAATACAATTCCTAATCCTAATCCCATTGATCCTAATTTGACTATCCAAAATTCGTGCTTCAATCATCCTGGTCCTAGAAATCATTGTTTTTGGTATTATCAATATTTCGACTCTTACAAAATACGGGAATAACGTATTCCTTCTCGTCAAGCTATGTTAGATATTAATTTTAAATATCTTCCTCTTTTACAAGAGTGAAAATTTGACAAACTTTTTGATCTTGAACCCATTGTCTACCATCAACTTGTTCGTATTTTCTATTCTAATGCCGTTTGTGTTAAAAACCAAACTGAAACTGAAACCATAGGAATTCATTCCTACCTCCTAGGACAATTCTTATATATTGACTCGGCTTACATAGCCAATACATTTGGATTAGATAACGATGGTATTTCAAATGAAAAACAAATCTTAGGATCTCGTTATAAAAGAAGGGATAGTGCAAGTGTCTTAGACCTTCATGAACGTTTTCTTCATCTAATGATTTCTTGGTGGTTTCGACCATCCGGAGGTCGTTATTCTACCCTTAGAGCCTTAGATCTTTGGTGGTTACATTGTTTCGAAAACAATATTAAAATAAACCTACCTCAAATTATTTTTGCTAAAATTATTGAAACCGTAAATCTTGTTCCTAACAAGAAACTATGTTCATCTCTAGTTTACGGTTGCATTTTGAGTAATCTGTTTTCCAAAGCTGGGCTTAGAGTCGGTCTAGATGCCGTTTTCCCCCTTAAGAAACAAATTAATCTTCTTTCCTTAACGAGAGCGGGATGAATAAAGGATAAGGAAACCGGTGAATGGGTTCGATTTTCTGCAAATACTCCGGGAGCTAGTTCTTCACGAACTCCACCAGAAGCTGATGACGATCCCGAGCTTGAGCAATTAATGCGAGACATCGATGAAGCCGAAGATAAGCCTGAGCAGCCCGAGGAGCAAGCACAACAAACGCATCAAATGCCTCCATATTTTCAATCCTTTATGGAGACATTCGATTTCCGATATGCTACCATGGATTCGCGCTTTACTTCTATAGAGTCTCATTTATCCACAATGGGAGCTCAACAATTAGAAATTCTTCGGGAGATGCATGCAAACAACGAAGCAACCAACGCGCGTATTAATGAACTCACTCACGAAATGGCCGCTATGCGAGTCGTTTTCCTCCTCCTGATCCAGATATGTGATTCTATGTTTTGCTTTGAACTCCAAACTTATTATTTTAACATTTTGAATATTTTGGAATGTTTGAATTTATGGATTGATTGATTTTTGAATTTGTTTGGATTTATGAATGGTGAGAACTTATCTATTTGGTGTGGTTAAATTTATTAATTATTGCATCATTTACTTCATGTTAGATATATGACCAATTTTGCCATGTCACATTAATTATGAATATTGATTATGAAACTAATGGCTAACGTTTCTCTTGCTTGTGATCTTAGCAGCTTATACTATATATAATCAATTGGCTAAATAATTTCAAAACCTTGTTTAAATTCTTTAAAATGTCTTTTTGATTTAACAAAAAGGGGGAGAAGTGTTAACTGTGTTTTAAATGATAAATGGGAGAAGTATTAAAGTAAGGGGGAGTAATTTCAAAACTTGATTTCAAAATCTTAAAATTACTAAAATGTTTTGTTATATCAAAAAGGGGGAGATTGTTGAAAACATTTTGATATTTCGATATAAAAAATTAAGTTAAATGAATTTTAAGATTTTCCAAATGATTTTCTAAGTATATTCGATATAACTATTCGAATATCAAAACATTACTCCAAATCTTTCAAAAATCATTTTTAATCCTTACTCAAGTGTAAAATTAAGTTTTAATCTTAAAACAATTTCAAAATAATGTTACAAAGTATTTCGAACTATTTCAAAGCCAAAAATTCCAGATTGCTCAGAGGGAACCGATTCCCCCTGAATGGTTTGGCTCCGAGAATTCCAGCATGCTCGGAGGGAACCGATTCCCCCTTGTATAACGGTCGAAATATTTGAATTTTACACTTAGGGAACCGATTCCCTATAGGGGAACCGATTCCCCCCACGCTCCAAGCTGTTTTATTAATTGTTTTCACACTAAAACGGCTATATGATCTTCACTAATCATACCCAACGTTCAGAAGTGATTCAAGGTGTATTTAAACAAGTTCTAAAGCCTTTGATCAAAAAAGAAATCATAGAGAAACAAGAGAGAAAGCATCAAACACCAAGTTTGTGCAAATCAAGCCAATTTCCCTTTCAATATTTCATTTTGCTTTCAAAGAACACCATTTGTGCTCATTTGTAATTATTTGTGAGTGTTCTTTTCTTGTTCTAGAATTGTGCAAACATCTTACCTTGTGAGGTTTTCCTTGTAAGTTTGCAAATTTGTGTATTTCTCTTTGAAATAGAGTGTGCTCAAGAATTTGGAGTATAATTATTGAGGGGGCTGTAAGGTTACTCTTTGTCCTCAAAAGAAAGAACAAATTAGTGAATTTGTTGGAAAATCCTTAGTGTGGATAGCTAAGGTAGTGGACATAAACTTTGGTTGATAAAGTCGAACCACTCTAAATCGCTGTGCAATTACTTTCAATTTTCTGCAAAAGCTTCCACCAAAATTTTAATTGTCAGTTCACCCCCCTCTTGGCCGATTCCGTTAATCGATTAACTCAACACAAATGATTACGGAATTAAATAATTTCAACTTAATAAAATTACTTTATTTAAATTATACATATATTACGAACAATAAAATAATTATATTTAATAAAAATTTGATAAAATAATAATATTTTAACATATAATAATATTAAATTAAAAATAATATCAATAATTGTATTACCAAAAATATTTTAAATAATTAGTTAACAAAATGATACTCATATATCTTATACATTTTTAAAGTTAGTTTAAAAATTAAATTTTTATATGATATTTATATTATTTAAATTTAAATATATTTAATTTTATATGTAATGTTAATCGAGTTAAAGTCATCATTTATATATTCTACACATAATATACAGAGCTAATAAGAGTATTGTTTAACCACTATTAAGTTGTTGTAACAGTAAAATATATACTCTCTGTCTTATTAAATATATTCACTGTTGACTTTTTTTAATCAAATTTTTTAACTTTAAATTATTATTATTATGAATTTATTATTGATAAAAATATGAAAAAAATATATTTTAAAAACTTTAAATCAAGTAGTTTCTAAATATATATTTTATAAAATTTAATTATTTAAATATTAAAAATAATCATAATTAAAATTTAAAAATTTTAATTGTTTAAAAATTAATAACAAACACATTTAATAATACGAAAAGAATAAAATAAAAAAATCTCGAGTTCGGAATGAGGGTAATAAACAAAGAATATGTAAAAGGCTTAAAAGTGGAATGAATGGGTAGACTATTTAAGAAGAGAACAAGTGGTTAACTACAGTTGGATTGCGTGGTTGTAAGGAGTAATAAATATTGTAAATAAATACGTGTGAAATTGAATTGTTTAAGCCTACATTTTAAGTATTTTCTACGTTGTTCTTCAATTAATGGTATGGGGAAACAGAGCCATTAGTTGTCGACTTGTTTCAATTTTTTTCTCATCGATTCCTTCAATGGTTTGTCTTTTAATTTTCCACGGCTTGCCTTGCCACTCTGGCCTCAGCCGTGGGTTCGCCCTTTCCCCTCTCCCACACACGCCCTCGTTCCCTCCGTCAACTACTCCAAAAACAACAATAACTTCACAGCTCCACCTTCAGAAGATAAAAATGAAAACGATTCTTCAGAAAAAGTGTCTTTAGCCGCAGCCACGGGGAAATTTTTTTTGGGAATTGCATCGAGATTCATCAAGAGCAGTCCGGGTTATGAAGATTCAACAATCCCTGATTCTCGCAGATCCAGGAAGAGGGAGAGGATTGGGGCAGTGATGGAGAATGAGATAGAACCAGATGTGATATGGGAACAAAGAGTCAAGGATATTGAAGCCGAGAAAGAAGGAAGAGTGATTACAAGCCCTGGGTTTAGCTTTTCTGGTGGTGGCTTCTTGCTTCCTTACCATCTTGGAGTTGCCCAGTTTCTCATTGAAAAGGGTTACATAAAGGTTTAATCTTTTCTCCCTTTACGAAAATTGCTTCTTTGATTGTTCATCACTTCAGTTTGAAGAATCTTTAGCTTAACCATATAAAGTTTAGTATTAAATTATGTTGCGCTTTGGAAACAGCCACTGTTGGCGTCTATATGAAAGGAGAATACGAATTTAAATGGGTCCAGTTTAGATATGGAGTACAGCTTTCACCTTAGAAAGGGCTTTGGAAAGTTTGGATTTTAGGCAAATACACTCTTGAGTTACTGACAATAGTGGCACTCTTTTTCCACACTGACACAGGAGACAACACCCTTGGCTGGTACATCTGCTGGTGCCATAGTATCCGCGGTGATTGCTTCTGGAGCTACAATGGATGAAGCCCTAAAAGTTGGTAAAATCCTGGGTAATGATTGCCGGCTTAATGGGACTGCATTCCGTCTTGGGGTATGTGTAGGCATAGCGTAATGTTTTTTTTGGCCATTTGCTTAATATCTCACTGAAGAATTCATATTTCTTCATCAGCTTCTGATCAAGTTTTATGTTAACTTATCCTTTTCTAAAATCGACAGGCTGCTCTTCGAGATCTTCTTGCTGAGCATCTACCTGATGACACTCATACCAAGTCCAATGGGAGGGTTCGTGGTGAGTAATTGAGTATGATAATTTGAATACAAACTAGAGACTTTATGCATGTTATTTTAAATGAGGAGTACACACAGCTGACGATTAATTTACTTTGAAACATATGACAAAATAATATTTATCATCCTACAATCGGAATCTTTGAATCATGCATTAGATCATGAACACATTTAGACTTATGGAATTTGGATCAAGTTGGTAATAAGAGAAAGTAGATAGGCCTTATTGGGATGGTAACGTGCAAAATTGTTCAGATCATAATGTTAGAGAGATGCCTGCTAAAGTTTACGTTGCATTTTAAAATACCGAAGTGGCTACAAACCCATTATGAGTGGTCTGGACCCAGATATTGGTTAAAAATTCTGTTCTGCTGCAGATAATATTAATGATCCAGCTGGGAATGAAGATGGTATGGGGTCTGTTAAAGTGGTTAAGGTGGTAAGTTCATCAGGTGGTTCACAGCCTCGGTCTGCAAGTTCTGCGAAGTCTGGCCCGGTTCGCAGGAAGTTAGTTAGGAGTTTCAAGAGGTTTTACTGCAGGTCTAAGAGAAGAAAGTTGTGGATTAAAGACGTGCAGGCTTGTAAGAAGGGTTCTCGAGGGGAGTCCAGTAAGGAGTTAAGTAGGGCTGCAAGTTCTAAGGGTGGTAATTCTGAAATTCCAGTAGTTGCTGGTTTGTCAGAAAGGGACAATGATGGCCCAAGGATGAGGAGTCTTAATAGGAGATTTAGAAGATCACTCTTTAGGGAAGCTGTGGAACATGCCAGTGTGTCCACATTATCCTCATCAGCTTTTCCTGTGCTGTTGGACGAAGCTGTTGCTACATGGGAAATCAGTAAGATTCTGGGTGTTTCCTTCAAGGAAGGGAAGGATGCTTTTTTACAAAAGATTATGGACTTGGAAAAAGGCTCGAGTGCGGTCAGCTGAGGTCGGGGGCAATTCATAGGATTTTCTGGGTTTGTCATATAAGTTTAGAATGCAAAGGCTTATTATTTTGTCGTGGAACGTTAGGGGGTTGGGTAAAAAAAGAAAAGCAGAGAGCTGTTCAGAAATTAGTTTCTAAGAAAAAACCATCTTTCCTTTTTCTTCAAGAAACAAAACTTGAGAATTTACCATTTGCTTTTTTAAGAAGGAGTGGACTGAATAAGTTGCAAGGTTTTGTTGTGTCTCCAGCAGAAGGTTCTTCAGGAGGTATTTTTAGTTGTTGGGATGAGACTGTTTTTGTGTTAGAAGAGCATCATATTCATAAGAGGTTTTTAGCAGTGTTTGGGAAATTTAAGTCCAGCCAACTTAAATGTGGGTTTATTAACGTCTATGGTCCTTCTGTGGAAGAAGAGAAGGCAGGTTTTTTTGAAGAACTGGGACTATTCATTAATGGTTCCAATGTCCCTTTGTGTGTGGGAGGAGATTTCAATGCCTACTTAACAGAAGATGAGAAGGATGATATGGCTCAAAATAGGAACTCGATGGAAATTTTTAGGCTTTTTATTCAGCAATCGGGACTTATTGATTTGCCTTTAATAGGGGGGGAAATTTACATGGAGCAGCAATCGGGATGTTCCAACTGTTGTTAAACTGGATAGGTTCCTGGTTAATGTCAGTTTCTCAGAAGAATTTTGCTGTATCAACCAATTTTTACTGCCAAAGTCCATCTCGGATCATAATGCTATTGTTCTTGAGAGTGGGGATGATTATTGGGGGAAGAGGCCTTTCAGATTTTTCAATTATTTATTGTCTGAGGATGGTTTTGAAGAGAAGGTTGTTGAGTCTATTAAGGAGTTTAAGGAGGAGAAGAAAAAATCTGGAATTTTGAGCATTCTAAGGAATACAAAGTCAGCCATTAAGAGCTGGTCTGGGGATAGGAAACAGTTTCCACGGCTGGATATTGCTGCTCTGGAAGATAAAATTCAACAGTTTGAATTAAGTTTGCAGCAAAATCAGAGTGCCAATGTAGATGTCAATGCGGCAGAGTTGAGGAAAATGAGAAATGAACTGTGGAGACTTTATAGAGTTGAGGAGCAAATTTGGTTTCAAAATTCAAGAGAAAAGTGGGTGAAAGATGGAGACCGGAACTCTAATTTTTTTCACACAAGTGCTTCCATTAGGAGGAGGATGAATTATATGAATGCACTTCACGTTGAGGGTAAAATTATCAAAGATCCGGTTATTAAGTCTACTATTAGAGAACATTTTTTTAAAGCTTTTAATCATCGTTCTACCTTGGAAGTGGAGGATATTAATTTGAATTTTTCAAGAATTTCTCTGGAGCAGAGTCTGTTGCTAGAGAAGGAGTTTACGGAAGAAGAGATTTGGGATACCATAAACTCGTGTGATAGTAACAAAGCTCCTGGGCCGGATGGGTTGAATATGGGTTTTTTCAAAAAATTATGGCCTTACTTGAAGAGGGATATTCTTAAGTTTTTCCATAATTTCTTTTTGGGGAAGGAGTGGGAGAATGGCATTAATCATTCTTTCATTACCTTAATCCCGAAGGGTTCTAATATTGGGGGTTTGGATGATTTCAGACCTATTTCTCTCGTAGGAGGGATGTATAAGATTCTTTCCAAGTGTTTGTCGAGAAGATTGAGAGGTTGCATCAAGGATATTATCAGTGACTCACAATTTGCTTTTATTCCGGGTCGACAAATTTTGGATTGTTCTTTTATTGCTAATGAAGGTATCGACTTATGGAGGAAGAAAGGTTTGAAGGCTTGTGTCTTTAAGGTGGATTTTAAGAAGGCCTATGATACGGTAAATTGGGACATTCTCTTTAAAGTTTTGGATAAAATGGGCTTCGGATCAAAATGGTGTAGCTGGATTCGGATGTGTGTCTCTACTGCTTCGATGTCAGTGCTGGTTAATGGTGTTCCTACGGATGAATTTTTGTTGTCTAGAGGTCTTAGACAGGGATGTTCCCTCTCCCCATTGCTGTTCAATCTTGTTGGCGAATTGCTTAATCTTCTGATTATCCAAGCAGTCCAGTCAGGCCTGTTTTGCGGCCTGACAATTGGCAAAGACGAGAATGTTGTAAATTTGTCTCATCTGCAATTTGCAGATGATCTCATCATCTTCTGCAATGCATCGAAGACTCAGATTCTTAATGTTAAGAGGGTTCTTCGAGTTTTTGAAGTTATGTCAGGCCTTAAATTGAATCTCACTAAGAGTAAATTATTTGGGATTAATGTTACTGAGGAATTGGTTACTCAGTGGGCTAATGCTATAGGTTGTTTAGTAGGTCATTTCCCGTCGGAATATTTGGGGCTTCCTCTTGGTGCTAAGCGAAATTCTCAGCAGATGTGGGATCCGATAGTGCAGAAGTTTTACAACAAATTAACAGGTTGGAAGGCTAAGACTCTGTCTATGGCAGGCAGATTGGTTTTATTAAAGGCAGTTTTGTGTTCTTTACCAACCTACTATATGTCCTTGTTCAAGATTGCTGTTTCGGTATATGATAAACTCAATGCTATCATGGCTAGATTTTTATGGGGAGGAGGGGTTGAGGTCAAAAAAATTCATTGGGTTAATTGGTCAACAGTTTGCTCTGATAAACGGGTGGGTGGTCTTGGTGTTGTGGATCTTAATTATATGAATAGAGCTCTACTTGGGAAATGGAGTTGGAGGTTTGCTAATGACTGCGATTCAGTGTGGAAAAAGGTAATTTGCAGTAAATATAATTTGGATTCTAGTTCTTTGTCGATCAATGAAAAACTACCTACTAATGCTTCTTGGATCTGGAAATCGATGGTCAATAACCATTTCAATGAGGATCACTTTGGAACTAAGTTTCGAAGTTTGTTTAATATTAAGGCGGGGAATGGTGGGAGTATCAGATTTTGGTTTGATCGTTGGGCGCTTGATTCCCCTCTTAAAGTGGTTTTCCAAAGATTGTTTGCTCTTTCGATAAACAAAAATGGGAAGCTTAATGAGTTTGGGGAGTTTCGGTCTTCAGGTTGGGTTTGGCATTTTCAATTGAGAAGGAATTTAAGTGAATGGGAATTGGATTAGTTTGCTGAGTTAATGGCTGTAATCCATAACTTCACTCTTTATAATGAGATGCCAGATGGTATGGTTTGGAGAGGGAATGGGGAAGGAATTTTTTTTGTTAATTCGTGTTTGAAGTCTTGTTGTCCTGTTTTGACAGCAGATCCTTTTTGGATGAAGCACATTTGGAGGGGTTTGGTGCCTCCTAGAGTGGAGATCTTCATGTGGCAGGTGGTGTATCAAAGGTTGCCAGTTAAACTTGAATTACAGAAGAGAGGAGTTTCAGCAATTGTTGATGTTGCTTGTCCATTATGTAAGAAGGTGGATGAATCCTCTTCTCATTTATTTTTAACTTGCTCGGTCGCGTGGTCTGTTTGGAATAATTTTTTGAGATTTTGGGGAGTTTGTTCAGTGTTACAAGCTGATGCTAAAAGTTTCTTGTTAGCTTGGGGAGATTTGGTGCCTAATTTTATAATCTGGACTTTCATTCCGGGAGTGGTGTTTTGGACAATCTGGAAATGTAGGAATGCGATTGTGTTTGATAAGGGGAGTTTAGATCAGATTGATTTGTTCTTCATGGCAAGATGTAGGCTGGCTGCATGGTTCTTAGCTGTCTATAAGGAGACGTCTATTCTAAAGGACTGTCTTATTTGTGATCCTTCGCTTGGGGATTGTTGCGCTATTTCTAGATCTTCAATCATTAAAATCAAGGCCTGGACTCGGCCTCCAAAGGGTTATATTAAATTGAATGTGGATGCAGCTGTTACTGCAGATTGGAGGAAAAGTGGAGTTGGGGGAATTCTAAGAATGGAGAATGGCTCGGTGGTGGGTTCTTTTCAAGAGGCTTCTGGTCCGGGTCCTCCCATTTTGATAGAGCTTATGGCAATTAAGAAGGGCTTGATTTTCTTTGCTTCAATCCAGCGGCGTTTTGAGGATCGCTTGATTGTTGAATCCGATAGTAAAGTTGCGGTGGATTGGATCAAGAACTATGATAGATGTCCCAATGTATATGTAGACCTTGTGTACGAAATTATTACTAAGTTAAGAGGTTTGGGAGGCATCATTCAATGGGTTGCTAGGTCAGCTAATGTTGAGGCTGATGCCTTAGCAAAGGCTGGTATTGGCTAGCTGTTTAGCCTTTTGGTTATGTTTGGGTCTGTTATTTTTTTACTATGGGTTGGTGTGTATAGGGAGTCTATATGATTGTTCCCTAAGTATTATGTAATTTATGTGTTTTAATGAATTAGAAGGCACTCTTTTCCTCCTTCCGCTGATTAAGGAGCATTTTATGATCCATCAATCATGAAGGGGGTTTTTAACGAGGCCTGCCATTCCTATAAAAAAAAAAACAAGGTGAAGGAGAGGTGTCCCAATAGCTTCAGTTTTCTTTACATGATTCACCATTCTCCTTTCCAAGATAAATTCTCTCTTTAATGTCTGACATTCTTTATAAGGAGATTTGCATAACATGGATGTCTGAATTTGACTTGCCAAGCTCCACCACTTTGAAATGTTAACATTCCTTTTATTCGCAACTATTATGTCAGTTGCTATAACTCAGATACTGTGGAGGCCTAGGGGTTTACTTGTGGATCAATTTGATTCTAAAGAAGATCTAATCAATGCAGTGGTTGCGTCTTCCTTCATTCCCGGGTAATTGATTTAGTTACAGTTCTGTATTCAAACGCTTGCTATAAAGTTACCTGAACCCAATACAACATGTCTTTGCAGGTATGCTGCTCCTCGCCCAGCAACAATTTTTCGGAATCGTCTATGCGTTGATGGGGGTTTGACATTATTTATGCCCCCAACATCTGCTTCTAAAACGGTATTTTCTTGAGAACATTTAGAGCTGAACTTGTCTCCAAAATGTCTGGGAAACTACTTGTCCTAAGATATTCTATGTTTAATGGATACTGGTCTGAAACAAGGATATCATAAACGGGTTTGAATTGAATTGCAAGGTTGCAAAGTGTCACTTTGATATAGAGTATCACTTCAATAATATTTGTGTTTTCAAGAGTTACTGAAATATTTTGTAGCTGTAGAATACAAAACTAGGATTCAGTGAAACCTGTTTTAAGATCCGTATATCGCATTCTCCGTGGTTATTGCTAAGATTTGAAAATAGTTGTATGATAATGCACTGTTTTTTTTAATTAGTGGTTAAGTTTTATAGGGACAGATTAGCTTAAATTTATCTCTAGTGTTATTGCTCTTATTTATCTAATTTTTCTTATCACTGGACCTAAAATCAAGCAATGATGAAAAAAATGGTTACTCAAACTTACTCCTAATGGTGATACCGTGCTATGGTTGCTGATGTTGTCTTTGCAGGTCCGAGTTTGTGCTTTTCCAGCCAGTTGGTTCAGATTGCAAGGAATCGAGATTAGTCCAGACTGCAACCCTGAGAACAGGGCTACCAGAAGAGAGGTAATCCCATAGATATGCAAATGTTAATTGTTTTGCTCTAGTATAAGCCAATGAATCCTTGTTGACAATCACTCTTAGCTTTTGAAATGGGCTAGGGAGCCGGGAGAAGATGAAATTTTTGATAGGCTCTTTCAGATGGGATATCTTGATGCAGCTGTATGGGGAGAGCAGAACCCAGTCGAGGTCATTGTTGCCGATGAAAGTCCCCTCGTCGAGAATGGTTCTGAAAAGTAAATGCTTACATGGTCCTTAATGTGTATGGATTATGTATAGCATCTCAGGGGTATCTCACAACCCCGGAAATTATGAGAGTCGAATCTTGTTTGGGGCGATCGATCAAGCATGGCTAAAAGCCGATATTAAGCGATTTTATAAGGTATGAAATTTTGAAACGACCATAAGATGTCGTAGGTACTTTAAGTGGCAAAGAAAGGAATTGGAATGTAGTAATTAGGATCTGAATATAAATTTATTCATCCCAATTCATGGATTTGTTTGTATAACATGCGCCTATTCACTCTTCCTTTAAAAATACTAACTTCATAATGCCTCTTAATCCATTCTTTTATTCAACCTCACTTGACGCATAAAAAATCATACTAATTCCATGATGTTTTATTTTGGCCTTAATAATGTAAGGTAAACTACATGTCTCGTACCCTTGGTTTTAAAATGCGAGATGCGCTTTGATGCGTTTAGTGTCCCGAGAGCCGATGCGTGATGCGCGATGTGTGATGCGCTCGCATCATGAACTCGATGTGCTAATTTTCACAAAAAAAAATACTTTTGAACTAATTTTATACCCTGTAAATACTTATATATAAAAAATACATCAATTAATACCAAAAGTAGTTTAATAATACTTCATAAATGTTAAATAACATAATAGACAAGTACGCTTAGGAAAATCAAAACAATCAAAAGACAAATCAACAATAGCTCCCACTTCCCTTCCCCCACATAGTTTTCCAAACTTTCTATAGTCACAAACTAAATGTCTCCAAGATCCTCATCATCAAACCCGAGCACGTCTCCATCTCCCTCATCATCATCAGTCACTCCAATGTCTTCCTCTATCTCATCTTCATCAACAAGAGCGGGTCTTTTTCCTTTATCATTTCTTGATGGGCCGACTCCATCATAGAACCACCGTGCTATATATTTACAAATTTTTTCCCTCAACTCTTTTTGAACCGTGACATTGATAGTTTGTTGCTTCCCTCATTTTCCAACTTTTCCTCCTTTGACAACTTCTTCGGGATTAGGAGCGAAGAACTTATCTATAGGACCTTTTTGTCTTGGCTTTTTCCTTTGAGACATTTTCGTACTATCCCCTTGCACTTCAACATAATCATCATCTTCATCAAGATCATAGTCACTATAGTCGAATCTTCTTGAGTAAGTTGAGTTCATCTTTTTTTCTATGGTTTCCATTTCTTTTTTTTTTTGCATGAAAGACCTCACCTCTTCCTTTACATGCTCTGGACAGTTTGGGCAACTAGTAACATCCGACAAACCACCAATGAAATGCCATTTCATTCGATACACACCACCCTTCACTACTTTAGGACAAAAATGGCAACGGAAATTGTTTCTGTTGCTAGGCTCTTGCGTATAATATTTCATAGCTGGATTAGTTGATTTGTTGGTTGTGTTTGTATTTGAACCCGTTGAGGTAGCACTAGGAGTTAGTTCCATACTAAAAATCACAAAAAACAACTTGTTTTAGTACATATAAAAGCTTAAACAAGTAGCAAGTAGCAAAACAATCACACACCCCAGCAACAAAAAGAAACAGTTCTTCGCTAAACCTTCAGTAAAATCAATTTAAAGCTATTGCGGCATTAAAGCTTCTTGATTTAGTTTTTTCAGTAAAATCATAGGACATAAAAACAGTTCATTCATTTAAGCAACAAAAAACAACTTGTTTATGTTTCTAAAAGCTAAAAGCTTTTGCAAATAAAAGCTATTGCAACAAAAAGAACTTATCTATAGGACGTAAAAACAGTTCATTCATTTAAGCAACAAAAAACAACTTGTTTATGTTTCTAAAAGCTAAAAGCTTTTGCAACTAAAAGCTATTGCAACAAAAAGAACTTATCTATAGGACGTAAAAACAGTTCATTCATTTAAGCAACAAAAAACAACTTGTTTTAGTACACATAAGAACTTAGGGATGAAAAAAATAGCAGCAGCCTCTTGTCAAGTCTATTGCGAGTGGCAGGGATGAAAAGAAACAGTAAAATCGAGGATAAATGTAAAAAAAAAATTGAGACTTACCTTCAAGTTTCTTTAATGGTAGCACTCAGCAGACATATCTTCAATAGTAGGGGGGAAAGCTCGATGGAGGAAAGTAGCAACCAGGTGACATTTTATTAGAGATTTATGTCAATTGAATATGGGCTTTTTAAGCCCATTCCAACAATTAAGTTAGAAACATAAACTAGTCCAACTAAAAGCCTAAAAAAAATCTTATTAAACGCATCGGCCCGCATCAGCCGCATCAGATCGCATCAGACCACATTATGTACCTCCTACCGCATCAGGCTGCCCGATACGCTTTGACCATCGCAACGGTCGCATCACGCATCAGGCGCGCCTGATGCGCGCTTTTTTAAACCAAGCTCGTACCTAAACTATTATATTTATTCTGTTTTGGTACTTAAATTTTATTTTTTTTCAAAATTATGTTTAATGTTTAGTTTAGGTTTTAGTTTGGTACCCGTTATTAAAAGCTTAATGAAACTTTTTTATGGGTAAATTAAAACATTCATCACTTAACTATATTCTATTTTATTTTGCTCACTAAATTTAAATTTTTTGATTTAACTAAGCTTTCAAATAGTTTATGTTTTAATCATTCTAATTTATTTTATTAATATTTTTATGACATGATATTTTTAATATTATTTTGCTAATATATAATTAAAATAAAATAAATAAATTTAAATTATACTCAAAACTAAAAGTGATGAGTCAATCGAACCAATAAAATGGTCAAGATGGGGTGAATTGGCAATTAAAAAGTTGATGAAAGCTTTTTGTAAGAAAATGAAAAATTAGCACAATCAATTTTAAAGTGATTCAACTTTCTCAATGAAATCTAAATCCATCACATTAGCTTCCACACTAAAGATTTCAATAAATTCATTAATTTGTTCAAATCTTTTAGGATAAGATGTTACCTCACAACACACTTATACTTATATCTCAAAGTCTTAAGTGTACAACCCTTCTCAAGAAGAAATTACAAATAACAAACTTTGGGGAAAAAAAATCCTTTACAAGGAGTGTGTTTGCACAATTTAGAACAAATAGAACACTTGAGAGAATAAAACAAAGAAGTACACAAGTATTCATGAAAAGCAAAAAGAATATTTTAGAACGTTAACTTGAATTTGGCTCTATTGATTACTTTGGCTTTCTTTGTGATCTCTTGTCTTCAAATACGACTTAAAATCTTGTTTTTATACTTACTCATTAAATTTCAGTCGTATGGGTAGTTGTGAGAGTTAATAGAGAAGTTGGGAGAAGTTTTCCTACAATAAATGTTGCCTAAACGCTTGGAGTATCGGTACTCGGGCTTGAAGTATCGATACTACTTACATTAATTACAAAATATAGTTATCAAAAAATAGGGGTATCAGTACTAATCAATGGAGAATCAATACTATTGTTATAAGTGGTATCGATACCAATCGAGTGTCGGTACCAAAATTGTATATTGAAATTTGGGATCTTTTAAAAACATAAGAGTAGTATTAGTACTATCATCTAGAGTATCCATACTACTGTTATAAGTAGTATTGGTACTGAAAGGATATTGATACCAAATTTACTTATTGTTTTTTCAAAACAAAAGGAGTATTAGTACTGCATTGAGCAGTATCGATACTAGTATGTATTTTTAAGCTTTTAGCATCTATAATGCTTTGATATCACATGAACAATATTCATCCCTAACGTTTAGTTTTTGTTTCATTTTAGTACCCCATCATCAAAATTTTAATGGAACTTTTCCACGTGACATTTTTCATGGGTAAATTACATTATTCATCCCTTAACTATCTTTTCACTCCTATTTTGGCCATTAAAGTTTAGAAATTTTCAATTTAAATATACAACTTTCAAATTGCTCATGTTTTAATTACTCTAATTTATTTTATTAATAATATTTTCTGAAATTATATTTTTTATTATTTTATTAATATACAATTTAAACTAAAAAAAATTAAATTTGAAAGTTAGCATAATTAAATTAGGAGTAATTTAAAAGTTAAGTAATTAAATTAAAAATATTAAACTTCAATTAGAAAATAGAAATGAGAAAATAGTTAAGAGATGAATGATGTAATATTCCCACAAAAAGTGCCAAGTTGTAACAGTTCCGTTAAGTTTTTAACGGCAGAGTACTAAAATGAAACAAAAACTAAACGTTGGGTATGATTTTAAAAAAAATAAAAATTTAAGTACTAAAACGGACCAAAACTGATAAATTAAGTACTAAATGTATAATTTACCCTAAAAATAATAACTATTTAAAATAAATAATATACATTTTATCTTTGTTCAAATAAGTCATATGAGTGCTCAAAAAATAACTAAGGAAAATAATTTATTATAAATTTATATACAATATATATATATATATATATATATATATATATATATATTGAATAAAATTACTAGTTTTATTAAAAGAAAAATATCCAAAATTATAATAAATGTTCACGATTATAATAGTAAATTAAACATAGAATTACAATATTTTCTTATAACAATTACCACAAGAAGCTATCTACTTAAGATTATACAAGAACCATATAAGGAAAAAGATTAAAAATCCAATCAAAATACTCAAACAAATATAGATACGAATAGATTTAATCGCATTCATAAACAAACCACAAAAGAAGATGAAAACTACTTAAAGACAACCGTCAAATCGCATATCAAAGTTAAACAACATGAGAAAACTATCCGTGAATGCAATTGCGTATCCCAATCCAATTCTAGGGTCCATATTAAGAAAGATCATCAAGATAACAAATAAGTGTCATCTTGATCAATCGAGACGTTGTCAAATCTAACCCTGTGAAAAAGATACAAATGAAAAGAATTGTCAAACGACCAAAATGTATCAAAAGACAAAAAAAATGTCATAAAAATAGAGAAAAACTTGACATAAATACAAAATATTAAAAACAAAAAATATAAATATAAAAATATAATATAAGAAAATAAATATAAAATTAAAAAAATATTTATTATCGATAACCAACACTAAAACTGATGCCACTGATTGGCAAGTAAAATTGAAAAATATATCAGCCACGCTGAGGAAAAAATCTAGAGATGTAGGATATATATTAAGATAAGAATTTAAATTTCATATATCACTCTCTCAAACAGAGAGAGGATTCGAGGAACTTTCACAATATTTGTCCTAAGCTTTTCTTTGGGCATTTACACTAATTTTAATTGCTTTATTTACTCGACTGTAAATTGTTTTTAATACGGTTTCACTAAAACGTGTATAACAGCAAATCGATGTTTACAGAACATTGGATGTTTGGCCCTGATAACACACAAAAGACAAGCCTCGTTGTTGTCGTGCATACATCAAACGTACCGTAAAAAATATTAAAATAGTGCATCTTCTACCACACTATTCTACAATCGGATTTGCATTTAAAGGCTTCATTTTCATCTTACTTTCCAACAACCAAAGCAAGAGTTAACAATCTTTTTTAAAAAGCAAGAATTAATAATGATAAATGTGGTGTTATTTGCAGCTTTCTTTGCTCAAAAAGCATTTTCTCAAGGTATTAATGATTCTTACAATTAACTTATAAAATATCAGTACCCTCTTCTTCTTTACTCCATGTCACTAATGATTTTTCATTATTCTAATCTAATGCATAAGACTGGGTGAGGATTGACTGTGGATCAGACACAAGCTACAAAGATGCCAATGGAGATACTTAGAATTCCGATTATGATTACATTAAAACAGGTGACAATAAACAGGTTGCTCGAGGAGTTCTTCCAAAGTTGAGCAACTGAACACGTCTTCTTCGAACAAAACAAGAACTGTTACACTTTGCCTACTCCATCATCAACCCGATATCTCGTGAGAGCTATGTTCTGGTATGGCAACTATGATGGCCTTTCCAAGCCACCGGTTTTTGACCTCGAATTCGATGGGAACAAATGGGCTACCGTTGTGACTAACATGAGGAATTTCACGTATTATGAAATGATTTATGCAACCAAGGGGGACGGCATTAGTATTTGTCTGGCTCGAACTCGAGATCAACAATTCCCCTTGATTTCCAGATTGGAATCTATTAGGATGTATTATTCGTTAATCTGTTAAGTTAACCATCTGTTAGTTTAGGTTAACTGTTGGTTGGTTTTTCTGTTAAGTTTTGGTAGTTAGTTAGTTCATAGTTCTTGTATATAAACAGCTTGGTGTATCACCTTTCTCAATACATGAAAGACGAGTATTCCATTTTTTCATTGTGTCGTAATCGTCTTTCGGTTGGGCCCCGGAATTGGGTTTCGACTTGAAAAATGTAGATTGGAGTCGCCACCGACCATTTTAAAACGAATTTAGGTGGGCCGGACACCATCTTACCTGATCTGCGTTTTTACCAGAAATGTGTCGGGTTCGGGAGTCGGTTACGATCAAGGAA